TTAATTTAGTGCATTATATTGCTAGGGGGTTTGATTCGCGGTAGGGACGAAGTAGTTCCGTGAACCATGTTCGGACCGCTGCAGGGGGAGGAGATAGTGCGGCATGAGCGTGACGCTGATCACTCACCTCCATGAAACACCGATATCATTTACAAGAGCCGAGTTCTGTCTCATGCTCCTTGCAACGTTACGGACGTGAGGACCCGTGACAACCAGTGAAGCTCGTGCTCAGTGGGGACCAATCCCAAATTCATATGGTGAGAACTCTACCTGCTAATTCATGATTACAAGAACTTCAACTCTTCTTCAAGTTTACTTCTTTCTCATTAAGATGTTTTCATTTTTATTGCTTTTATGATATATAGGATTCTTGATAACTTGTTACATAAATCTCCCTTCTGGAGAGATTGACAGTCGCTCAGCTAGTCAAAAACACTTCTCGCATTTTATGGAATTTGAGGGTTCACTACCACGTGACCCTTAAAGACAGTTCCATTATTCTGAGCCAATTTACTTGCAATACTTAATATCTATTAACTTCCTGTAATGAGGACGTGGCAAACAGGCATTATTTTACGCAATAAATGTTGCCAAATAACAAACGTTACGTTGCCTAGTAAATTTTCCTCAATCCAGCCAAAAATGCCGTAACATGCCTCAAATCTGGCCACAGTTACCATTATTAGAATACGACTGAATAAAGTATGGTCAATTCATATTAAATACTTACATCAAAAGGCTCTACACATGCGCTTTTGCCTTACACTGCACTGTGAACCGCTTGTACAAGCCGTCGTAACTAGTTTACTGACCACAAAGATTCCATACGTATTTCTCATATGAAGGCTTTAAAATAAGAACATAAATCTCCACTTCAGCCTGTACGTGAGCCATCCTTTCAGAAAGCAAAATTGCCCACAAGAATGCAGGTGCATGCAGCCGAACAGCACTATGGCATTTCCTGTCGAAGCTCGAAGGAAAGGTTTCAGGCGGAAAGACAGATTTCAGTCTGCAAGCAGACGAATAACACACGCCCGTTGATATACGAGTACGTACTTTACTAAAAACATCAGCTTAAACAGGTATGCATAATAAGATAATTTCAGAACTGTCATTTCACTAATTCTTTGTACTTACAAACCTAAATCGTTCACCTGTAAACTGCAGTACTTGAGGCAATTTGCATATATCCACGTTGGGCACCCGCATTTTCACATTCACAGCATAAAATAAACAGGGTAACTGGGAAGGCACTTACGAACCTGAACGAAGTGGTACAAGGTCTTGGAGAACCACGAAAGCTACTAAATAACAAACAAACTCCGTGGCTTGAGTCCGCAAGGGAACTATACCGACCGAGCGACAGCCGCTTGTCGGCAAAATTAGTGCCAACTTTAGCGGACAGAGGGTGTCACATGGTCAGCGCAACGGATCCCTACGGCCGTTAATTTCGGTTTTATGGACAGCAGCCGATATTTCCTTGAAATAGCTCCTCAATTATCCTCACGAGGCTGAATGGACCCCATTCCAGACCCACTACTTCTCAGAAAATCTGGTAGTGCCGGGAATCTAACTCGGGACCTCTGGATCTGTAGGCAGGAACTCTGACCACTACAACACAGAGACGATCACGAAAGCTGATACCAGAATACAAATCCACTTCGTGCCGGACTGGACCTGACCTGTCGGGTTCTTCCAGCTGAACAACGCCCAACACACAAAAGAATGTTAAAACAATACATGCGAAATGAATTCCGTAATTTGTGTCAATTATAATTTAACTTCGTTAATGCTCCAATGACGATGTGTAGCTTCGTCTCATTGATTTGATCTCTACTCTCAAAGTCACGACGGTCATACTGACAAATTCAGTTCTACGCCTTACTTACTTACTTATTTACTTACTCATGGAGCTGAGCCCTTCTTGAGGAGCCGCCAATTCTGCAGCTACTCAAGAACTTCCCAGAATTTTATGGAACCTGAAGGTTCATCGCCGTGTTCACAAGAGCCCTCCACTAGTCCATATCCTGAGCCAGATCAGTTCAATCCATACCATACCATTCTATCTCTCTAGGATTAATTTTAATATTGTTCACCCACCTACGCCTTGGTCTTCCCAGTGGTCTCTTTCTTTCTGGCTTTCCCACCAATATCCCATATGCATTCCTCGTCTCCCCCATTCTTGCTACATGCTCTGTCCACGTCATCCTCCTCAACTTGATCATTCTAATTATACTTGGAGAAGAGTACAAGTTCTGAAGCTCCTCATTATGCAGTTTTCTCCATATTCCTGCCACTTCATCACTCTTCGGTCCAAATATTCTCCTCAGCATCCTGTTCTCAAACAACCTCAGTCAATGTTCCTCCCATAATGTCAGAGACCAAGTTTCATCACACCCATACAGAACCACAGGCAAAATTATAGTTTTGTACCACGTGTATTCTAATTTTTTTATGTTTTTGGGCAGCATACGAGAAGCACGCCTAGCCCTCTGTATACTGAACGTAAAATGCTGAAAAATCCTTGGGACGGGGTAATTCTGACACAATCCAAGAGACGTGAACATAGTAACATACATTATACATTACATATGAACATTACTGACAAGTTTATCCAGAACAATCCCTTTATTTTCTGTTCTCGTTCGTTGTATTACATGCTTTTTTCTTTTCCGACTAAGACCTCGAGAAGAAAAATATGAATTACTCGTCACGGAAAGGGGGGGGAAGAGTTTCTCTGGAGATTGTCCACTATCTGGATAATACAGATGACGACTGTGAGAACACTTCTGTTTCCGTCTTCAAGCAGAAGACGAGCAATGCATCAATCTCGGCTCTGTATCGCCTTTGCAGCGTGGTGCTTACGGACAACTACACTACACCTTACGTCAAAACATACACTGAAACGAGTACCCGTTCGTCTACAATACCCATGCGAAAAGTTAGAACAAGTTTCCGGCCTAAATTTCACGATCCTACAGTCTAGTAGGGAGAAAAAAAAATTATTCGAACCATCATAAATAAATTTAGACAAACTGGGTTGTTATTAGAAAAACCCCTTCCCCTAATGAAATGCCAAGTGCTCACTAATGAGAGACTCAATTAAATCTGTAGCAAGCTAGAACATCTCCCACCTTAAATAATTTCATATGGGTTGCACAGAAGTTTCGGGTTTCACGTTTCATCAGCTTCTGAAAAGGAATTTCAACACTTCACCATTTTACGGTGATACTATGATTTAAACATACAAAAAATAATATATGCAGACCTATAGGAATTAGTGACAGGTGAGCGACGAAAGAAGAGAATATCAACGTATCCTTAAGAAAGAAAAATGTTCGTTCGAACTATGTGCCTAATAACGGCAACTAAACACCACAGTCTAAACCAAAAGAAACTCCGTGGTCTTAGTCCGCAAGCGAACTATACCGACCGAGCGACAGCCTCTTGTCGGCGAAGTTAGTGCCAACTTTAGCGCACAGAGGGTGTCGCGTGGTCAGCGCAACGAATCCCCACGGCCGTTAATTTCGGTTTTCTAGACCGGAGCCACTATTTCCTTGAAATATGTCCTCAATTATCCTCACGAGACTGAAAGGAACCCGTTCCAGACCCACCACTTCTAAAAAAAATCTGGTAGCGCCGGGAATCGAACCCGGGACATCTGGATCTGTAGCCAGGAACTCTGACCACTAGACCTCAGAGGCGGTTTACCACAGTCAAACGAAATAAAAAATCTGCACATGACGATGAAAATACGATGAAATGGTGTAACTGTCCAGTTTATGGGAAGGTCAATTGATATTTGTGTATGGTTGGGGTTTTGTGAAATTCCTCACTTTCGCCTCACAATTTGGAATTTTCCCCCCTTGAGACATGCAGCAAGTGGCTTGGGTCAAGCTTGAAGCCAGCTGCCCTTTCGTAAATCAGTTAATTTAATGCGTAAAACAAGGCCGAGTTCTTTAGAAATTCTAAACTTGACAGGGGAGGTCATAAATTTAGCAGCGTCGTTTCCTGCTAACCCAAAATCTCAGTTTGACAGCCACGCAGCAGGTGGCAAAGTTCACCCCTAAACTGTACACTAGTGGAGATTCGCTTTCCTAATTGGAGGAGAATGATAAGCAACCTCCCAGTCTGCCCGGTCCAGCCAATCATCATCTGAAGTGGGAGGTCCTTTGCCCGAATTTTGAGTAACCAGGGCAAGTACTTACCATTCAGAGGGTGCTTGGCCAGGGGACTTTGGAAGTTACGTTCACCGGGGGTACACGTGTTCGGATCCCCGTAAACACGCCGATGGTAACTATTAAGTGTGCGTCCCCAGACCAGTAAGTAGGCCTACCTCCACGAATTTGCGAAGAGTAACAATACTGGCTGTTTCTGATTAATTAGTGCAAATCAAATAAAGATTCCTTACAGTTAATTGGCGTTGAGGTGATTTCCCTACGCCTAAGCCCCACTAATCATCCAAGTCGTGGCCTGTCAACACGCCCTGAGAGGAGTCGGATTGCTCTACCGGAGCTAGCAGAACCGAAGAAAAACGGTTACAATGGTCACAATCCGTACTTCGAAACGTTCTCTAGTATAACGTACTGCGAACTTCAGGTTTGCAGCACAGAGATATATACTGACATTATAAAACTAGAACCAACGAAGCTCGATTAATTTTAACTGTAGGTTAAACTGACATTATTTACCAATACGAAAAGCTGCATCATATTCCTGGCACGAAATATTGGGGACCACATGGCAAAAAAGTAGTTTCGAATAGTTTTCGACTTTATGCAAACATCGTTATTCACTTGTAAACTTATATTTTTAAAATTACGGCACCTAGTTACACGCACACGCGCCAAATATCAAACATAATTAAATGTTAAGAACCTTTTGTCAATATGACACATGAAAACGAATTATTCCTGAGGTTTATATATAGCGCGTGCGTACAGTCCAGATGTACAGTTTCCTTGTTTCCTGACGATTACATTGTTTCAAGTGTTACTCACCTATCGTGTCAGGGAAGTAAGAACGTAAAACTCCTTGTTCTTTCACACGCTTCTCCAACTAGTCACAACAAGCACTTGGTCCTACCATAAATCTGCTCCTAGTTTTTCTTATTAATTCACACACCTAAATAAGGTTATGCACACCTGAAACAATTAAACCTAATATTTTGTACTCCACAGGAAGGCACCTAAACCGTGATGAAAAACACTTTCATTTAATGTCACATCCATGGAGTGAATAATGAACTTAACCCGCTGGATACCTTATTTCCTTCACTCACTAGAACAGGATAACGTCTACGTCACCTGCAGCACAATCACACGCGAAAAACTAACTAACAAATATTCGCGAGCGACAAAATTTTCGCGGCACCATTAGAAAGGCATTAAATAATAAATGCAGTGTTCATGTCGCGCATTCATTTTGGAGAAGTAGGTTAAAAACGTCAAGCAAGGGGATACAAACTGATCTTCTCCAGTAATACAATGAGTGCTTCAAAATTCGCCAGATATGAGTTCCATCGATAATTATTACAAGGAACCGCGAATTTCAAGCTGCAAAATGGATACGAAATACTCAAGCTTGCTCGGCTAGTCTTGCGACTCGCCTGTCACCTTGTGAAGGTTGCGTGGCGTCCAGGCTGTGAGCTCGCTCCCTTCCACTCGCTCGTTGGGCAACGTTGCCTGCCTTGCTTTCTAACATACTACTGGTTCAAAAAACATTTACCACATCCTAAAGTATAGAGCTCTACTACACCAGTCTCTTTCGGTACGAACGGGCTGCATAAAAGTTAAGAAAATAATTTGGAGCAGTAAACAGTAACACAGTACAACTCAGAAGTTAGAAAATTTGTTCAGAAACCAATGACAATGAATCAATCATCACTGGAGAATCACATTTATACCTAACTGTTTCAAAGATAAATAACAACCTACGTCCAGCACTTCTCACATGAACATAAATATCTGAATCTTACCTATAACGTCAAAGGTAAGACTATCCCGGAAAGATTCTCAAGAAAGGAAGGGATTTCTCTTCGTCACGAGGAGAATAAATTTGTCAACTTCAAGTATGCCGTCTCGTGGGATGTGGCGCCGTGTAGATATTTTGTTAACAGACGTTTAGGAGGAACGTATCGCCTCCATCTTCAGGGTATAAAAAATCCACGTGCGATGAACCAGCTCGCGGATTTCTTATACCCTGAGGCGATACGTTCCTCCGAAACGTCGGTTAACAAAATAACTACAAGGCGGCACATCCCACGAGACGGCATTCTTCATAGTCACCGCCGTGAAAACCTCAATTCTCACTTATCAACTTCAGTTTACATCTTTTGTATTAATTTTATTTTTGATAACTCGGTTCGCCAAGCCCCGTATGCACTGGATATTATGAAGAGCCGTGTGTAAGACCAACTACATTTCCTACAGCCGAGGTAAATACAATACATATACAGCAGCTTCACTCTCACTCACTCATGGATCTGAGCCCTCCTTGAGAAGCCGCCAATTGTGCAGCTACTCAAGAACTTTCCAATATTTTACGGAACCCGTAGGTTCATTACTGTGCTCGCAAGAGCCCTCCACTGGTCTCTATCCTGAGCCAGATCAATCCATTTTCTTTCGCTTAGGTCGTTTATCCAAAGAATCCATCCAGGTCCGAAGCTTCTTGTGATCTTTCGTGACAAGCTTATTTTTATGGAGAGGAATTGGTACCCCCACGCCCAACCCCACGCTGGAGGACCACCCCCTGTCAGCTGTCCGCGACTGCGTATTGAATATATTCGCAGCTACCTTCCATATCGAGGAGCCGGGATAGCGACTGGTTATGGGCTGGACGACCGAGGGGTCGGAGTCAGAGTCCCGGTAGGATCAAGAATTTTCACTTCTCCAATCGTCCAGACCGGCGGCTATGGTACCCACCCAGCCTCCTATTCAATGGATACCGGGAGCTCTTTCCCGGGGGTAAAGCAACCGGGGAGTTCAGCGGACCACTCACCTCCAACCAGTGCGAGGTCAAGACAATGTGAATCTCTACATCCACTCCCCCGTACGTCTTCATGGCGCTGTGCTTAATCAGTTAAGCACAGGGACAATTTTACCTTACCCTCCATATCTGGAGGTCGTCTCCTCCAACCGCAACCTGAGGACGCACCATGCCGTGGTGACAAGGGACCTGCCTAACATGGCCCTCTAACGCTCTTAACATGCCTTCATAGGAACAATAGGTCACTGTGATCGCGGTGCAAGGGCCAAGAAGGCCCACCCCTTATACATTCATTCACTCATTCAACATGCCTTCATTGCGAGGTTCTTTGGCGGAGGGGAAATCTACATTTGCCGACTACGTCAAAATCAGTTATACTCGTAATCAGCTTAAGTATGCTGTAATAAAAATTTCAAACAGGAACGTGGTTCTTGATAAAATCACGATTCTAAAATGCTTGTTGCCTGCACCAACTCTGTCGTCCCGTCTACTTTCCAAAACGCTGGAGTTCAAAGACAGAAAAGAAAGATATCGCCATTTCTTCTGTATGGGTGTGAAACGTGATTCATTATTGAGAAGGAAAAGTGTCTTAAAACATAGTGCTCAGGAAATTACCCATACCTCAGAAGCATAATTTAGTATATTACGTAAAGATGATATTAGCGCTTTATACAGACCACCTAGTATTTCTATTGTTAGAATCCGGAAACCCAGGAGACTATGATGGGCTAGGCATGTGGCTAGGTAGGAAGAAACAAGAAATGTTCACATAATTTCGCGAGGAAACTATTGGAAATAAGTTCAAAATGAGGAGTGAGAAGGAAATGAGAAGTAAAAAATTAAGATGTGCCTATGAGAGAGAGAGAGAGGTTGTGAGAATCGGAGGTGTATAAAACTGGCTCAGGATCGTGTCCACTCAATGTTCAATTATACGTAAAATAAATGGTTAGTGTTCAATTAATGTATTAGGTCTGCACGTCACTGAGAAAATAACTAAATGCTCGCTTTCTCTATCAAACTAATGTGGTGCACAAATCTTTCATTCTTGTTTCCTTTTCCGAGTAATACTGTGTTGAAATCATACTGTGGATATACACAGTGTGTCCAGGTTCTGTTAGGACTGTGTTCATTAAAAATACAAGACGTGAATTATTTACAAAATTTCACTCCTTTTATTCAAAATAGTCTCCCTCTGAATCAATACATGGCTGGAATCGATTGAAAAGTTTTCGTAAACAGTCACTGTACTCCTTTTGTGGAATCGCATTTAAAACTGCGGTAGATTCCCTTTGGATGTCCTGGATGGTGTCGTGACGGTCTCCTTTCATCCCCAACTTAACTTTTGGGAACAACCAGAAATCTGCTGGAGCCAAATCTGTCGAATACGGAGGATCAAGGACTGTGATCCCTTTTCTGGCAAAAAAAAAAAAAAATCGCGCACGATCTTAGATTTGTGGGGTGGGGCACTGTCGTGGAGGAGCGACCAGGAACCTTGCGCTCGATATTCAGGTCGAATTCAAAGAATTCTTGTCCACAAACGATTGAGGACTCCCAGATAATAATCGTAATTCACTGTTTGACCTTCTGGCAGAAATTCCTTGTGAATGATTCCTTTGGAATCGAAGAAAAAGTTTAGCAGTGTCTTTACTACACTCTTTTGCATGCGCACTTTCTTTGGGCTCAACCACGCGGCACTCTGCCGCTTTGTGAGAAGCTCATATTGAAAACACCATGTCTCGTCACCACCAGTAACAATCTAATTTTGTAAATTTTGTATCACTTTGGGCAGACCGTAATGTGTCGTTGCAGTGTTCCACTCTGGCATGTTTTTTATCGTCTGACAACGCGTGCGGTACAAACCGCGCACAGACCTTCCGTTTGCCCAAATTCTCGGTCAAAATTTGATGCACAGTACCTTTTGGTATTCTCAAAAGCTCCTCGATGAGTCTTGCACAAACACATCTGTCTGATGCAAGGATTTTGGTCACTTTTTCACGTTTTCTTCAGTGGGACTTGTGCTCGGCTTTGATGCACGTGGAGCGTCTTCAATGTCCTCCCTGCCGTCACGAAATACAGCATACCATCGAAAAATGTTCGAGCGACTCAAACAATATATACCGTACACACTTTTCATCATTTCGTTCGCTTCTCCGGCTGTTCTGACTAACTTCAAACAAAATTTGATGTTGGCTCTCTGTTTAACTGTCATTTTTCGACGAGCGTCAAAACAGTACTGTTACATTCCAGGTCAGAACACATTACGCAGCGATGCTTGCGCTTTGAAATTATAGACAGCCACAGCTGAAACTTCAAGAATCTTAACGCAATAACTCGCCAACAGAAGGCATTGCAGGGCAAAATTTAAAAAAGTGTGTCCTAACGGATCCTGGACACATTGTGTACTCTTCAGACAGGGCCGTCGTCGCCTACCTTACATCTTTCTAACGTACAAGTATCTCAAACTAAGCCATTAGCCAACCACTCCGCCGCCCTTCCAACATGTCTCACTATTCACAACCGTAATGATTTACCTGATTCGATGCTATAAAAGGACCGTCAAAATTGAATCAGTTTCGATAGACTGATGAATGAGGAAATACATAACTTTTTCACTGGCTCTACAGCCGCCTTGGGCCCTGGCCTCTGATTCTTTCAGTTTCATGATCATTTTACAGACGGTATGACTCCTTGGAAGAGTGATCAGCTGGTCGCAAGCCCTCTGCCGACATAAAATATACAACACAAATATAGAATAAACACACACAGATACCAAACATTCATGCTTTGTGTGGGATTCGAATCCACGATCCCTGCTTCCGAGCGAGCGAACATAGTATATGCTTTAGACCGCTCGGCTACCGTGACCGGCAGATACAAGCTTATTAGTTACTTACTCATGGAGCTGAGTCCTTCTTGATAAGCCACTAATTCTGCAGCTACTCAAGAATTCCCCAGAATTTTACGGAACCCTAAGGTTCATTACCGTGTTCACAAGAACCCTTCACTGAGCCCTATCCTGAGCCAGATCAATCCAATCCATAGCATCCCATCCTATCCCTCTAAGATCCATTTTAATACTGTACATCCACCTACGCCTTGGTCTTCCCAGTGGTCTCTTTCCTTCTGGCTTTCCCACCAATATCCTATATGCATTCGTCTCCCCCATTCGTGCTACATGCCCTGTTCACCTCAACCTCCTGGACTTGAACATTCTAATTATACTTGGAGAAGAGTACAAGTTATGAAGCTCCTCATTATGCAGTTTTCTCCAACCTCCTGTCGCTTCAGCTCTCTTCGGTCCAAATATTCTTCTCAACACCCTGTCCTCAAACACCCTCAAGTCTATGTTCCTCCCTTAACACCAGAGACAGAGTTTCACACCCATACATATCCATAGGCAAAATTATAGTTTTGAGAGTTCAATCTCCTTTTAATTTCCTCCTGAATCAGGTTTTGGTATCGTTGTCCCCAAATATCTGAACTGTGCCACATTTTCGAAACATCTGTTACCTGTCTTTATGTCATGATTTTGCCCTGCATTTTGGTGACGAGACAGTAACATATACTTAGTTTTCTCTCTGTTTACATATAGACCAATCTCCTT